CCTCCACCCAAGGACACACACCTGACCAATAGCGCAATGATCATACAACACAAATGCACCCCCACCTTTGCCTATGTCTTCACTGCCAAAAGAGGTGTGTTTTTTACAGTGAGATAGCTAATGCATGTTAGTTATCTTGCTGTAAAATCCTAGTGGAGATAAGGCTCTATATATTTTACTGCAATGTGGGTAGACAAGGTCAACCACAGTTGGAAGGTATAGTGTTGACCTTGCCTAGCAGTCAAAACTTGTCTTCAGTGGGCAGGGCATGTTGTTAGAATGATGAAAGACAGACGAGCTAAGTGTCTTTTGGATAGACATCCTTATGATGCTTGACCTTGTGGTTGACCAAGCAGAAGATGGAGGGATAATACTGAGCACAGCTGAAGAGGTCTTAATGTGAATTACTATCAGTGGGGAAAATATGCTCTTGACAGAAAGAGGTGGGGACAAATTGTGAGAATAGGCAAGGATCTCTATGATCTATAGAGCCAGTGAAGAGTACATAAGAACAGCCATACTGGGTCAGACCAAAGGTCCATCAAGCCCAGTATCCTGTCTTTCGACAGTGGTTAATGCCAGGTGCTTCAGAGGTAATGAACAGAACAGGTAATCATCAAATAATCCATCAAGTAGTTAATATTATGGAGTGCTCACAACTCCAAAATTAAGGTTGCAACAAATTGTGCTATTATAATGCTCATTTTGAACATACACCTCTGTCCCCCAATTTTTAGTTGAAAGAGCTATTGAGCTGCATTTTTCTGGGTCTAATGTTAGTGTTTAGTAGGATTTCTCTAATGACCTTCAGAAGTGAAGAATCACAATTGTTTATATAGTAAAGACTCAAAAATCTATGGTTTTCACAGTGGGAAAAAAAACTCTTATGAGTTTTGGCCACCTGTTTCTAAACACTGTTTATTTACGTATTTATTATTATTTATTAAAATGTGCTCAGCACTTTCCAGATGTGTAGGAAGAGACAGTCAGTGCCTCAAAGACATTGTAATCTAAAAGGACAAAGGATGGAGGAAAGGGAGTCTCATATAAAGTGATTAAGATGAATGAACACAGGTCTTGTTAGTTCTAGATTAGTTGTTTGAAAAATACAGTAACTCCTCGCTTAATGTTGTAGTTATGTTCCTGAAAAATGCAACTTTAAGCGAAACGATGTTAAGCAAATCCAATTTCCCCATAAGAATTAATGTAAATGGGGGGGGTTAGGTTCCAGGGAAATTTTTTTCACCAGACAAAAAACTATATTTTATATATATATATATATATATATATACACACACACACACACAGTATTAACGTTTAAACAATAGTAATACTAGTACACAGAC